GATATATTTAATTATGATACAATTATGTTTTAGGTATTGATGTATCATATACAATTATGATATAATTATTATGCAATTATCATATAATTCCTGCAACTTCTTCTTCTTCTTCTTCTTCTTCTTCTTCTTCTTCTTCTTCTTCTTCTTCTTCTTCTTCTTCGAGTTTCACTCTGAATTTTTACCTAAAACCAACTCTACACTTAATCAACCTCCCTCAAAATTGAGATAAACTCCAAAGAATATTCTCAATCACTTGCAAGAACATCCAATCCACACAAAATCACAAAATCTTAAAACCTGAAATCGTATGTATATATGCTCGAGAATCATATGTATTTTTGGTCTTCGAATGGACCAATTTGTGGATGAGTGTGTTAGGCAAACAAACTAAAAAAATTAGGAAAGGGAAAAAAATGAGAGAGGAGAGGAAAAATAATAATTGAATCCCTTAATTGAAGGCACTAATAATGGGGTGGGAGCATTTTAATGGGAGAATATATACAATTTGTAAGAACAATCCAGATATTTATTGAAAACTACAAAACCTAAAGAAAATAGATAAATAACTTTCTATTATAGTATATATAAGAAAGAAAATTTTAACTCCTATAGCAAATTATTACACCATATTTATTATAAAACAAAACTATTTTAAAATATTTTTATCTATAGCTACCTTTATATTTTATAGCAAAATAAGTGTTTATTGTATACACTACCATATAGGCGTGAAATACACTATTTATATTTTTTTTCTCTTTCTTTCAGTTAACACACGTTCTCTCTCAAATAACAACAACATTTTTCTTCTTTCTCTCTCCACGATCTCTCTCTCACAGCAAGATTGTAGGAACAAATTTCTCAGAATTGATCCTCAACGTTTTTGTTCCAAAAGTTCATGATAATTGGTAAAGTTTTTGGCCGGTTCACGCCAAATTACTCTGCCGTTCTTCTTTTTCTCTTCACTCTTTTTTTTTAATTTTTGCCATTGCTAGGTTTTGAGGAAGAAACTTCAAATTTCGTCTTCAATGATTCGTTCAATAACTTCGAAGAGGGTTATACAAGGTTAACCCACTAAAGCACTCAATTTTGATCGTCGACGTCATCATCCACTATTGGCTCATCTTCTTAGGCAATCCATGGCTACGCCGGAGAAGATTTGAGGGCCGCGTTTTTGTTCATCTCCAGTTTTAGTTTTAATATAATGTATACAGTATTTTGCTTGGCCGGAAAAAACCATCTCCAGCGAACTTTCTTCTTTTTTTTCTTTTTGCTTTTTAAGTCACATACAATGATACAAATACACTGTATTCTGTACAAATATACTCAAATATATTATATTTTTGTATAATACATTATTTTTGGCTTGTATTTATATATTCCGAAGGTCTATATTTTTTTAATACAACCAAATATCACCGTGTTTTGTGATTTTTTGTTGTTTGAATATAGTCGAATTGAATACAATGCATACTAGTGAATAATGAATATTTGTGAATTGAATACAATGCATACAGTCGAATTGAATAGAACGATATGCACTCTATTTCTTGATTACCTTACTGTATTTATAAATACAGTCACACGAATATATGCAATACAACACAGTAGCAACGAAATTTATGTAGAATTAATTTTATTGAGTTAAATTAGGAGTGATACACGCTAATTGATCCTCTTTCCGTTATTAAACAGCTGGACTCACCTATTTTTAGGCGAATGAATACAATAACGTGAATACAATGAATACAATCGCACAGCTGGACTCCCCTATTACTGTATTCATGAATACAGTAGCGCGAATACAACGAATATAGTCGCGTAGCAGCGCAATTTTTATGTAGAATTAATTTTGTTGAGTTAAATTAGGAGTGATATACGCTAATTGATTCTCTTTCCGTCATTAAACAACTGGACTTTCCTATTTTTTAGGCGGATTCTTCTACTGTATTCATGAATACAGTAACACGAATACAATCGCATAACAAGTAAATAATAGCTATAGGAAGTAATTATGTATATGGTAACTATAGAAAGTTAATAGCCACTAAACAATAGAGGTTTCTGAAAATTCCTCTATAAGAAAAACTCCCATTTTTGTTGTGTACACTTGGGCCAGAGCAACCTCAGTACGTAACAATGTTCATTTTCCAAAATGGGCTATTCACTGAACTTCTGATCAGTTTAGGAAAAAGGAGGGGGAAGTGCACGGTTAGCCACTAATAACACATGTATTTACTTTTAAGCCACTGTTTAAAATGTCTTTAGTCTTTAGCCACTGCTTTAATAAACTTTACCTGCCCGGACGAAAACACCCTTCTGCTCATAAAGTTCAGGACCAAGTGTCCTTAACTTTTGAACTTTCAACTCTAAGTTCAGGACTTCAGGACTACATGTCCTTAACTTTTGAACTTGCAACTCTAAGTTCAGGACTTCAGGACTACGTGTCCTTAACTTTTGAACTTGGAACTCGAAGTTCAGGACCACCTGTCCTTAATTTCAATGCTTGTAACTCTAAGTTAAGGACTACTTGTCCTTAACTTTTGGACTTGTAAGTCTAAGTTCAGGACCTATTGTCCTTAACTTTTGAGCTTGTTGGTCTAAGTTCAGGACCTATTGTCCTTAAATTTTGAGCTTGTTAGTCTAAGTTCAGGACCTATTGTCCTTAACTTTTGGGCTTCTTAGCCTAAGTTCAGGACCTATTGTCCTTAACTTTTGAACTTGTTAGTCTAAGTTCATGACTTCAGGGCCTATTGTCCTTAACTTTTGAACTTGTAACTGTAAGTTCAGGACCTATTGTCCTTAACTTTTGAGCTTGTTAGTCTAAGTTCAGGACCAAGTGACCTTAACTTTTGAACTTGTAATTCTAAGTTCAGGACCAAGTATCCTTAACTTTTGAACTTGGAACTCGAAGTTCAGAACCAAGTGTCCTTAACTTTTGAACTTGTAACTGTAAGTTCAGGATCCATAACGTAGCAGAAAACCAAACGTTATTTGTAATCTTTTCACAGAAAATTGCCACTGTATTTCATTATGTAATATACAATAAGACATCCAATTTCTACTTTGCTGATTTATTCAACCAACATGACAAGTAAAACGAGTAGAAAATAAATGATGAAGATAACTTTTCACGATGTTCATTAATTTCATTAATATCAGACAAGTAATGTGTATTCTCTGGCTGGATGTTGTCGTAAAGGGTAACACCAGAAGGCTGTTCTTATACTTATGGGGGGAGACTTCAACCCCTCTCTACGAACGCGATAAGTAGCATGTATTGTCATTCAACAAGGGAGATACAAAGAGCAACAGCCATCTCTGATAATAGTGAGATAAGTTGGATTACTGTATTCATCAATGTAGTCCTGCCACCACTATTAATTTCAGCCAACACCCCAGCAACCGAATGTAGATGAAGCCGCCAGCAGTAAAACCCTGCAACATTATATGAGATAAAAGAAAGGGCAACACAGTCTTTTCATATTAATTTTAATAGACTAGTGGCTACTATTGTTAAGTATTGAAAATGCTGGATAAAAAGTAAATACCACTTTAAAAAGTGGCTACCCCACACAATTTTTACGAAAAAGGACGTCTCCTAAGCCCACCTGCGAACATTCATTTCGCCGTGTGACGCAAGAAGGGGGAAGTTCACGGTTGGCCACTAAAAACACATGTATTTACTTTTAAGCCACCATTTAAAATGTCTTTAGTTTTTAGCCACTGCTTTAATAAACTTTAACTGCCCAGACGAAAATACCCTTCTGCTCATGTCCTTAACTTCAGGACTTCAGGACTATATGTCCTTAACTTTTGAACTTGGAACTCTAAGTTCAGGATTTCAGGACTACATGTCCTTAACTTTTGAACCTGTAACTCTAAGTTCAGGACTTCAGGACTACATGTCCTTAACTTTTGAACTTGGAACTCTAAGTTCAGGACTTCAAGGCTACATGTCCTTAACTTTTGAACTTGGAACTCAAACTTCAGGACCAAGCGTCCTTAAATTTTAAACTTGTAACTGTAAGTTAAGGACTGCTTGTCCTTAACTTTTGAACGTATAACTGTAAGTTAAGGACTGTCTCTCCTTAACTTTTGAACTTGGAAATCAAAGTTAAGGACTAAGTGTCCTTAACTTTTGAGCTTGTTAGTCTAAGTTCAGGACCTATTATCCTTAACTTTTGGGCTTCTTAGCCTAAGTTCAGGACCTATTGTCCTTAACTTTTGAACTTGTTAGTCTAAGTTCAGGACTTCAGGACCTATTGTCCTTAACTTTTGAACTTGTAACTGTAAGTTCAGGACCTATTGTCCTTAACGTTTGAGCTTGTTAGTTTAAGTTCAGGACCAAGTGTCCTTAACTTTTGAACTTGTAATACTAAGTTCAGGACCAAGTGTCCTTAACTTTTGATTTTCTTCTTCTTTATATTTTTTTTATGATGCCTAACCAAAAGGCTAATCTTCAGAACACAAATTAAATTGATAATAACAGAGAGAAATTTAAACAGAACTTTTTGAACAGAAATTCTCCCACTCTAGCCATAGAAGGGGCTAAGAAACTTCAGTTGGCTCAACACCGTGCAATAACAATTGAAAGACTAAGGTCAAAGCCAATTAGTAGGAGTATTAAAGAAGAAAAGGAGATTAACAAATTGGTAGAAGTCTCTTTTTCGGTATTTGATTTGACAATTTGTTAATCTCTTTTCTTTTCTTCTTCAAATACTGAAAAAGAGACTTCTACTTATTGCTTGTATCGCTGCCAAGTCTAGCTCCGCCCACCCAGTCTTTCCAATCCACTGTAATTCCGTTTGGGAAGGAAAGGATAACTCAGTCTTTTCATATTAATTTTAATAGACTAGTGACTAATTTTGCTCAGCATTAAAAATAGTGGATAAAAAGTAAATACCACTTTAAATAGTGGCTACCCACGCAATTTTTACGACGCAAGAACTCATGATCCAACTGAGTCGGGCTGTATGAAAAGCCCATTTACAAAAAAGACGTTGGCGGTTGCTATTTGGGAGGTGTCGTGAACTCAAATCCTTAGACTAGTAGCTTAATTTCTTTTTCCTTATATTGTTCCGTGCTTGAATAAGAAATTCAAAGACTCTCGTAAGCTCTGCAAAATGAACACCGAATCGGATAAAGAACAATTCCTGAAGGAGTTTGGAAGTGATTATGGTTATCCAAATGCCCCCAAGAACATTGATGAAATTAGAGCTACCGAATTTAAGCGCTTAAACAGTAAGATTTCCCTTTTTCACCTTCCTTTGCGAATTTGGATAATAACAAGAAGATGATTATCATAATTATTTCGAATTTTAAATTTTCCACTTTGTTCAATATATTGACGTTGACTATTTACATTCATTTGTAGGTACGGTATACTTGGATCATGCTGGAGCCACTCTTTATTCTGAGTCTCAAATGGAAGCTATTTTTAAGGACCTCAATTCTACTGTTTATGGAAATCCTCGTAAGCTGGTTTTTCAACTTTCTACTGGAGGTTTCCTAATATAGCGTTGGATTCCGCATTTATTTACTCCAGATAAAAATTTGACCGTTTATACAACTGTCCCTTTAATTCCTTAATTCTGTGAAAAACAATAGATAGCCAGAGCAGTTGCAGTTTGGCTAGCGAGGACATTGTTGCGAAAGCACGCCAACAGGTAAACAGCTTCTCTTGCACAATTTATTTTTGTTGATAACTCATACTCTCTCTGCCTCCAAGATTAGTCCACAATACTTTTCACATATACCTTGATGTTTGCTATTCAAGTAAATCATATGATCTGAATGTTAAGCAATCAAGTCATAAGCACCACAATGTTGTGGAGAGGTGTAATTCTTAAAAAGAATCACATGTTTGTCAATCTCAACTAGTTTAATAAAAGCCGCTAATTTTTTTTTTCCTGATATGTTCTCTTATATTAGTAAGTGTTTCATATGTGATGCATTGCTGTTGTTTCATTTTCTTTTACCATTGCATCACGGCTCTGTTCAGGTTCTTAATTTCTTCAATGCATCACCAAGAGAATATAGCTGTATATTCACTTCTGGGGCAACGTCTGCATTAAAGCTTGTTGGGGAGACCTTCCCCTGGAGCAGTCAAAGCAGTTTTATGTACTCAATGGAGAATCATAACAGCGTCCTGGGGATTAGGGAGTATCCTAAATTGAATAAACCTTTTCATCAAATTTTGTCATGCAGAGTTCTGATGTATTAATTTTCTCAGAAAGCTTTCTTCTTTGGTTGTATATTCAGTTGCTTAATCTGCTGTACTCATTCCTGCTTCAAATGCTACTCTTTTTCACTGAACGTACTGATCCACTGTATCAAAGGCCCCTGAAGATTTCATAAATATTCAGCATTTTCTAGTCCCTCCTCTTGCTTCTGAAGTAAGATGTAGAATTTCTACTGTTCATCTCATGGATATTGTTATACATGTTTTTGACTGTACTTCCAAGGATAACTCTTATACTTGACTGATCCCAGTTCTATCTAACCAGCCACAATAATTCTAGGCTTGTTCTTAAAATAAGCCCAAAACTCAGAGGACCCAATTCATCTCTAATTTTATGTACTTTTATCTATGTGTTAATAATTTAGTTCATACAGATAACTTATTACGACAGAAAAATAAAAGAGAAAAAGGAGAAAGGTATTACACAGCGTGAAGAGTTGGCAGAAACAGTTGTGTTGATGAAGATTTTTTCATGATTTTTAATTTGGTTCATCTTAAAGTTTGTGTTTCTCAAGTATCCTTTTCCTTAAAAGTTACTAGATATGCTCTCAGTAAAGGAGCTGCTGCTTTTGCAGTTGACATTGAAGAGAGCACGCATCTTGGTGAATCAGAAAGCCCCAAATCTAACTTAAAACTAACACAGCATCACGTTCAGAGAAGAAGTGAAGGTGGGGAACTGAAAGAAGGGATGACAGGTAGCTTCTTAATCCGAGATTCAGCCAACTTCCCTTGGAAACTAGATTGTATGATAGTTGCATCAACTTCTACCTTCCAAGCCCCTCCATCCACCAAGTCTATAAAGGTAGTTAGCACCTTCAACTCAAATTTGATATAGTCAGAGTTCATGAGATCCCATCAATCAAGAGAGCCTATATGTCCTTATACCAGTTAGGTGGAGTATCTATTTCTTTTTGTGATTTTTTATCAGATGCACTGGAAGTGAAGTAGAAGATGCTTCACTAATGAGGCACATATTACCAATTTCTTCATCAGTTTCGACTTGTTGTATTTGAAATTGTCTTCTTCTTGTTACAGGTAATGCATACAACTTGTTTGCATTCCCCTCAGAATGCAATTTTTCAGGTCGAAAATTCGACCCTTACCTGGTTAAGGTTATCAAGGAAGAGTCTGAAAGAATCGTAGGAAGCTCCCAGTATGGCAGGTAAAAGTACTAAAAACCTCGTTGCTAAAGTTCTGACATTTATCTGAATAGTATAAGATATTCTTTTTCCCCTCTGCTTGTAGGTTTTTACTTCCTTATGAGGGTCAGGGATGTCTTTAGAAAATAGACCTTACATCCCGTTTAAGCTTGGTTGAGAATAGAATTTTTAATGCCTCAAACATTTACTAAATAAGATATTTATTTTTCATGTTGGTTCAAAACACTCTTCACTTCTTTTTTGGCTAAACTATTGGGTATTTCAAATGATGTTGATATGTTTGTCTTCCAAAAAGTTAAAACACGGGCATGCAGTAACTACTAACTAGTCTGTCATTCTTAGGTATAACTGGGCCAAAGAAGATTGTTTGTTTGCCAATAGCTACAAGAGTACATGTTACATTTTGAACAATGTATGTTGATTCAGTCAGGGCTTCGACTAGTTTGACTTAAATATCGAATCATCGACTTTTGTCCTCTGTATGTGATATTTTGTTATCATTAGCTGACAAGCTAAGTCTTCAGTAAGATTTTATTTCTCCATCATTGAGTTGGTCGTATGCAGATGCGCAGACATTAATTCGCTTTTCTGAATACAGAGGTTGCTGGTTGGTTCTGATTGATGCTGCTAAAGGATGTGCTACCGATCCACCAGATTTATCAAAGTTTAAAGCGGACTTTGTTGTCTTCTCGTTCTACAAGGTACTTATATTTGATACCTGCTGTTTAAATATTACATGAACATACAAAATGCATCCCGGAGCTTGAAAAGATTTTTTATGTTTCTTGTTTAGTTATTCGGCTACCCAACTGGCCTTGGAGCACTCATTGTTCGAAATGGTAAGCAGCTAAATAAGAAGACCAATATTTCTTGTGCGTTTCCTCACTTATTCTTGTTTACCAATTTTCTTCTTCTTGTAGTTTATTTCTCTCTTGTCTCCCTCTCTGCCTCTATCCTTTTGCTTCTCTGTCTATGGAGAGAATCTTGGGTGGAAAGGATGGCAGAGATGCCTAGGTTTTCTTGTGGAAAATCTAAAATTTCCTTTTTTTTTTTGGTTATGAAACAAGATATATCATATCCCCACCCCTAGTTTTTCCCCCCTTTTCTTCATTGTGAAAATTAACAAAATTTCCTGATCTCCCTCTATTGATCAGATGCTGCTAAGCTGATGAAGAAGACCTACTTTAGTGGAGGTTTGTTCTTAGTGCCTTGTCTTATTATGATTATTATATTTGATTCCTCTAGCACTTTCAAGTTAGCCTGGATTCTTGTAGGCACGGTGGCTGCAGCTATTGCTGACATTGACTTTTTCAAAAGAAGAGAAGGTGTAGAGGAATTTTTTGAGGATGGCACCATCTCGTTCTTGAGCATAGCAGCAATTCAACATGGGTTCAGAATAATGAATATGTTAACAACATCTTCAATTTCCCGGTAAGTGAGAGCTTACTTCTTTCTTTTCTCCGGATTAGGTGAGCGCTTACTTCTTTTGTGGGTGAATAGATTCTGAAATTGAATGATGATCAGATTATATTGAGATGGACATTTTTTGCTGTCATTACGCCTAAACAGAGACAATATATTGTTGCGCACTCTTGACTAGATTTATTGCAAGCTTTCTCGTTTATAGTTGATCTTTCTATGATTCATCCTGGTGAGTGAATCCTGCTAATCTTATTTGATTAATCCTGTTCATCTACTTTTGGATATTGTTAACCTTTTATATTTTGATTACACAGATATTGTTAACCTTTATATCTAAGTGTTACTACAAATAATGAAACAAGTCAATTTTTGCTTTAGCTGTTAGGCTAGTTAACTCTTGAGTGACTAAGAAAACTTTGTTAAATGTTTACTCAATTTGAGGACCTCAAATATCCAGTTTTTAGTTTGTCTCTGTTTGACTTGTCTGATAAGTTGTTCTTTGTTTAGAGGATATATAGGCACAGTTCTCAGTATTAGCTTCTGTTGGCAGAGAAACTAGTTGTTCCTTTCTGAATCATCTAATTCACCGCCAACAGAAAACTTGCAAAGAATTTTACCAATATACTGTTAGAAATAGTTCTGCTTAATTCTTGTAACTATCTCTTTCTCTATTATTTATGGAAACTGTTGCCTCATCTCTGTCTCTCTCTCTGAAGTTTGAGCGTAATGAAAATAAAAAATGTTCTGAAATGTGCTATTCTATCCTGCAAGGCATACAGCATCACTTGCAGCATATGTGAGGAATAAGCTTTTGGCGCTGAAGCATGAAAATGGAGAATTTGTTTGCACTCTTTACGGGGTAAATATATTGAGCATAGCATTCTCGTGACTAGGTTCATATGTTTTTATAATGTGGTTGGTATTTTGATCTCATTCTACTTATCAAATGCAATATGTAATGGGGGTGTCAAATGGGCGGGTTGGGCTGAATTTGGGCGGGTCAAAATGGGTTAGGTCAATAAATGGGTCATTGCCCAACCCAACCCAAAGTGTACTTTGGCTAAGATGGGTGGGGTCAAGATGGGCCAGACAATGGGTCATAATCCAACCCGCCCAACTTGACCCATGTTTTAGAACCAGTGTAAGTTGAAAAATATTTTGCGGGGGGAGGGGATTGGGGTGGGTGAGTGGTGCAGAAAAGCGAAAAAATAGAAAACAGAAAATTGAAAATACAAAAAAAAATTAAAATTTTTTTTTTGAGGGGGTTTGCGCGGGGGGTTGGGGGGTGTAGGGTGGTGCAAAAAAACAGAAAATGGAAAATACAAAAAAAAAGTAAAAATTTTTTTGAGGAGGTTTGCGCGCGGGCGTAGGGGGTAGGGTGGGAGGGTGGTGCAGAAAAATAAAATAACAGAAAATTGAAAATAGAAAAAAAGTAAAAGTTTTTTTTGAGGGGGTTTTGGGGGGGGGGGGTAGGGAATAGGGTGGGTGGGTGGTGTAGAAAAACGAAAATACAAAAAAAAAAAAGTAAAAAATTTTTTTTAGAGGGGGTTTGGAGGGGGGTGGGGCTAGGGTGGGTGGGTGGTGCAGAAAAAACAAAAGAACAGAAAATTGAAAATACAAAAAAAAAATAATAATAATAAAATTGGGGCAACTAAGTAAATTTCTAGATAAGTTGGGTTGAGATCCCATTTGTTTTGGGTGAGTTTCATGGGTTGTATTTGGGCTGCTTAATGGGTCAAAATGAGTTATAAAAAATAATGGGTTAACTTGGGCTCGCCCAAATTGACCCATGAGCTAAAATATTTGTAGCCCAACCCATTAATCCCTGGGCGGAATAGATGTGTTTGGGCTCAAATTGCCACCCCTAATATGTAATGATGTTTCAGAAAGTCCTCCTGAATTCACATGAAAATATTTCTTTGATCTGGTGTTTTTATGTCCTAGGCAAATTTGGTTGCTGCACAATGATGCAATAATTTTGCTTTAAGTACTAGAAATAGATAGAGAGAATGTTTAATGGCTCCTCATTAGAAATATGAACATGTGAATAGAAACTAATTAATGGAGGGGTAACTTAAGTGGCCTGCTAAATTTGAGGAAACTAGTTAAAACTAGCTTGAGTTAACAATATAGGGTTGGCATTTTAAAGAGACCCCAGGAAAATCTTTAGCTTTGTTTAATCTTGGGGAACCTACTATAGATATAGTTTCAGGACAACCATCAAATTAACATTTCTTGATTTTTAGTCCCCTTAAATCTGTTGGAACTATGCATTTGATATGCTATAACAACGGATGTATGCCTTAGACATTCTTAAGCAAGTATTGCCACAATCATGTCTCTGGTTTTTTAAAACCTATAGTTGCTGAGTTTGGATCTGAGTAAGTACTTTTGCAATTAATTTTGGTTTTAAAAGATTCCAAAAGGTTTGAAGTTTGCAGCCAAACAGTGTCAAGAATAGGGTCACTTGAGTTCTGCACTATATTATTTTTTTTTTGATAAAGTAACAATTTTATTAATGAAGGGGAGAACCCCTAAGTAGTTTTTTTTATAACCGTTCTTGTGAGGAAGCGCGGGGAAAAATATATTATTGATGTGTTTAACTATAATACAAGAACCCCTATTTCTAACAATACACAACACAACACTAATCCTATTCTATGTGGGACTATATTTATTTACAATTATATTAACTATGTAACGCTCCCTCTCAAGCCGGTGCATACAGATCATATGTACCGAGCTTGTTACATATGTAACTAATACAAGGACCAGTGAGGGACTTGGTGAAAATATCTGCATGCTGATCATTCGACTTCACAAACTTTGCAACAATATCTCCTTAGAGTATCTTTTCTCTGACGAAGTGACATTCAATTTCAATGTGTTTAGTTCTCTCATGGAACATCGGATTTGATGCAATATGAAGGGCAACTTGATTATCACACACAAGTTCCATCTGGCTGATTTCACCAAATTTCAACTCCTTGAGCAACTGTTTGACCAATCTAGCTCACATGTTGCCATAGCCATTGCACGATAGTCTGCTTTTGCACTAGATCAAGCAACCACATTCTGTTTCTTGCTCTTCCAAGACACTAAATTACCTCCTACTAAAACACAATATCCAGACGTAGAACGTCTATTAGAAGGTAATCCTACCCAATCAGCATCAGAGTATCCAACGATCTGCTCATGGCCTCGATCCTCAAACAATAACCCTTTGCCTGGAGCTGATTTTACATACAGATGTGGACAACTGCATCCTAATGACTATTACAAGGATAATCCATAAACTGACTTACAACACTCACAAGAAAGGAAATGTCAAATCTAGTCACAGTGAGATTAATTTACCAACCAACCGCCTATATCTCGCAGGATCGCTAAGCGGCTCCCCATGTCCTGGCAGAAGATTAGAATTCGGATCCATCGAAGTGTCAACAGGTCTACAGCCTGTTATTCCTGTCTGCTCAAGAATGTCTAAGGCATACATCCGTTGTGAGATCTTATTACTTGAGCTAGACTGAGCGACCTCAACCAAAAAAAATACTTTAATATGCACAGATCCTTAGTCTGAGTGCCAAAAGAGATGTTGGTTCAATTTGGTAATACCATCATGATCAATGTCGGTAATAATAATATCGTCAACATAAACCACCACATAAACCACCAGATAAATATATATATTTGAAGCAGAATGCCGACAAAACACAGAATGATCAGCTTCACTACGAGTCATGTTAAACTCTTGGATAACAGTGATTAGCTTCGGTAGATTGCATGATAGCTTCTTCTGCTCTATTTTTCCTCGAGTACGTTTTCAAATCAAGCCTATCCAAACGCCCAATTGTCTGCCCTTGAATTCTTTCTCCAATTTAAGTTTTCCCTGTGACAATGTATCAAGAGGTCCAATAATGGAAATAGTTAGAATCACCTTTTCCTCTCTACTGCTCTCCCACGAAGAGATGATGAGTTAATACTGAAATAGGGCTCAAATTCTCAAAAGGTAACATCAATGCTAACAAAAGATCTCCTAGAGGGAGGATGATAACATTTGTTACCTTTCTGTGTCGGAGAATACCCCGTGAAAACACGTTTTATAGCTCTACGATCAAGTTTCCTAGGATTCCTAGTGTGGACAAAGCAAACACATCCAAACACCTTCGAAGGAACAATATACTCATTCTTACTCTTTAAAGCTTCCGGAGGACTTCGAAAATTGAGGGTTTTAAGTGGCATTCTATTGATAGGATAGGCAGCTACTGAAATAGCATCGCCCTAGTAAGGTTTTGGTAGATGCATAGTGAACATAAAAGATCTTGCCACTTCTAACAAATGCCTATTTTTTCTTTCAGCAACTTCATTTTGTGCACTAGTGTTAAGGACAACTAGTCTGATTGATTATCCCATTGGACTCCAAATAAGCACCATATCTTTTATCCATATATTCGCTGCCATTATCATTTCTCAAGATTTTTATTTGGCATCACACTGAGTATAAATCATCCTATGAAATGACTGAAAATAAGAGAAAACTTCACTTGTGTCTTTTAACAAATATACCCAAGTCATCCCAGTGCAGCAATTAATGAAAGTAGTAAACCATCGGTTACCAGACCCAAAAAAAAAAAAAAACACAATCTGGGTAGGACCCCATACATTAGAATGAGTAGTCCTAAATGGAGTTGTGCTTCTATTATCACTCACGGGATAAGAGTTTCTAGTATGCTTGGCATATTCACACGCATCACAGAATAAAGATTCAAATTGAGTCCTTCAAAGCAAATCGGGATATAACTTCTTCAAAAAAAAGCCGATGGTTGTCCTAACCGTCTATGCTACTTTATTATTTCTTGGTTGACATCCTTACTTATCCCAAAAAAGGCTTGACCAGAGTCTTGAATTCCATCTAATATATACAAGTCATCGCTCAATCTACCATTGCCAATCCTTTTCCTTGTTTGAAGATCCTGAAAAATACAATGATCGAGAAAAAACTCGATTTCAGACTTTGGTGATGACACTAACAGATAAATGATTGGCAAGGAACTTAGGGACATAGAGCACGAATGATAGTTTTGTTAGAATAGTTATGTGAATATATGTAATTAGTCCTATTCCCTTATGTAAGGGAGTAGGTTATGTGTTATGTATATATATAAATAGGGCTCATTGTAACACATGGTATCAGAGCAACTAGTGAGAAATTCCTGCTGTGCAGTTACCAGCGAGTCCGGGACAATCACCATGCTTTTTTTCCGGTGACTTTCAGGCTGTTTTTTTACGAAATCCCTTCTCCGGTGGGTTTTTTTACGAAAAATAACACTACCAGCAGGTGCGGATTTCTCAGGCAACCAAACCCTAGGAAACCACACCGGCAGAACCCTGTCCACGCGCTCTCACGCGCCTCCAGAGCTTCTGACGCCGGCGCTGCGTCAGACCCACCGCCGACGCGTGAACAGTGTTCCGGCCATCTTTTTGGAAAATTTCTGTAGGACAATCTTATCTTCTAGTAATTACGACCAGGACCATATTGTTTTCTTTTTATTCCGAGCACTTTGAGATTTTTCTGGCGTGAACAATGAGTTTCCGGTGAGAACAGTAATTCCCAGAAAATTTCTGCTTTTTTTCCGGCATAATATTATAATGACATTCGTATCAGAAGCCTTTAACTCACAATCCGTTGGATCCAATGCATTGAATCCAATCCAGATGGTTTCTTTACCGGATTATATTGAGTTCTTTCAGTATAAAGCATGTAAACAGACATCTTCAGGGATAGCTTTCGTTGTTCAAACAGATAGTAGCGTGACTTGTGTCTCACAATCTTCAACCTCTGAGTCTTGGGTCATTGATTCAGGTGCATCTGATCATATTTCTGGTAACAAATCTCTTTTCACTGCTATTTCATATTCTCAATCTCTTTCACGGGTCTCAAACCACGGCAACTACAATAGGTCAAGCAAGCCCACTTCCTTCCTTACCTTTAGATTCAGTTCTTTATGTTCCCGGTAGTCCTTTTAATCTCATAGCCGTTAGTCGCTTAGCCAAATCACTTAAATCTGCTGTTTTATTTCTTGATGACCTTGTTTTTATATAGGAACGCAGTATGGGGCGGATCATTGGTACCGAACGTGAATCAGATGGACTTTATTTCCTTATCCTTGCAAAATCACATGGACTCACATCTTGTCTTCCTTCAACAACTTGTCCATTCATCAGATTTATTACATAAGCGAGTGGGACATCCCAGTTTGTCAAAACTTCAAAAAATGGTACCTGGCTTATCTCACTTGTCCACTCTAGAGTGTGAGTGATGTCAGCTCGGTAAGCATACCCGCTCCCATTTCCCGCGGCGTCTTGATAATCGAGTAGAGTCACCTTTTACTTTAGTCCATTCAGATGTTTGGGGTCCTAGTCGGTTCAGTTCTACCTTGGGATTCCGCTACTTTGTCAGTTTCATTGATGATTATTCTAGGTGCACTTGGATATTTTTGATGAAAAATCGATCTGAGTTGTTTTCTATTTTCCAGACCTTCCACGCTGAAATTCAAAACCGATTTTGGGTTTCTATCCGCACATTTCGTAGTGATAATGCCCTAGAGTATTTGTCTTCCCCATTTCAGCAGTTTATGAACTCCCATGAGATTATTTATCAAACATCTTGTCCGTACACATCCCAACAAAATGGGGTAGCTGAAAGAAAGAATAGATATCTTATTGAAACTGCTCGTACCCTACTCATACAATCTCATGTTCCGCCGCGTTTTTGGGGGGATGCAGTTCTTATATCTTGCTATCTTATTAATCGTATGCCATCTTCAGCTATCCAGAATCAAGTTCCATTCTCTGTCATGTTTTCCCACTTACCTTTGTTCTCTCTTCCACCCCGTGTCTTTGGTGTTTTGTTCATAACCTCACTCCAGGAAAAGATTAGTTAGCTCCTCGTGCTCTTAAGTGCGTATTTCTGGGTTACTCGAGAAGGCAAAAGGGATATTGATGCTATTCTCCTGATCTCCAGTGGTATCTTATGTCTGCTGATGTTACCTTCTTTGAAACCCAATCATACTTCACAGGTCCAGGTAATCACTTAGATATTTCTGAGGTGCTACCAGTTCCGTCTTTTGGAGTCACTATCTTCCCATTCATCTTCCTCCATAGCTCCAGTTGCCATCCCTAAGTCTACAGGTGAAGCACTGTCTCATCCCGGGTGGCGACAGGCTATGATTGACTAGATGTCTGCTTTCATACGAGTGGTACTTGGGAACTTGTTCCTCTTCCCATTCATCTTCCTCCATAGCTCCAGTTGCAGCTCCACCACCTATAGCTCCACCACCTATAGCTCCAGTGCCACCACCTAGTCCAGCTCCACCAACTATAGCTCCAGTGCCACCACCTAGTCCAGTTCAACCTTCTACAGCTCCACCACTCCTGACTTATCATCGTCGTCCGCACACTGACTTATCATCGTCGTCCGCACCCAACATCAGGCCTAGTTGATTCACGTCCTGCACCTGACCTTGCTAATACTGCGGACTTGTCTCCTCTTAGTCAACCGATTGCACTACGAAAAGGTATACGGGCCACACTTAATCCTAATCCTCATTATGTTGGTTAAGCTACCATCGTCTGTCATCATCCCATTGTGCATTTATATCATCTTTGTCCTCTGTTTCCATCCCTAAGTCTACAGGTGAAGCACTGTCTCATCCCGGGTGGCGACAGGCTATGATTGACTAGATGTCTGCTTTCATACGAGTGGTACTTGGGAACTTGTTCCTCTTCCTTCGGGTAAATCGACTGTCGGTTGTTGTTAGGTATATGTAGTCCAAGTTGGTCTAGATGGTTAGGTTGATCGACTTAAGGCTCGTCTTGTTAAAGGGTATACTCAGATATTTGGACTCGATTACAGTGATACTTTATCTCTCGTGGCTAAAATAGCATCAGTCCGCCTTTTTCTATCCATGGATGATGTTCGCCAATGGCCTCTTAATCAGTTGGACATTAAGAATGCTTTTCTTCACGACCACCTTGAGGATGAGGTTTATATGGAGCAACCACCTGGTTTTGTTGCTCAGGGGGAAGTCTAGTGGCCTTGTATGTTGGTTGCGCCGGTCCCTCTATGGTCTAAAGCAATCTCCTCGAGCGTGGTTTGGTAAGTTCAGCATAGTTATTTAGGAGTTTGGCATGACTCGTAGTGAAGCTGATCACTCTGTGTTTTATTGGCATTCTGCTTCAAATCTCTGTATTTATCTGGTCGTTTATGTTGATATTGTTATTACCGGCAATGATCAGGATGGTATTAGTAAGTTGAAGCAACATCTCTTTCAGCATTTTCAGACTAAGGATCTGGGCAGATTAAAGTATTTTCTGGGTATTGAGGTCGCTCAGTCTAGCTCAGGTATTGTGATCTCACAATGGAAGTTTACCTGAGATATTCTTGAGGAGACAGGAATGACAGGTTGTAGACCTGTTGACACTCCGATGGGATCCGAATTCTAAACTTCTGCTAGGACAGGGGGAGCCTCTTAGCGATCCTGCAAGATATAGGTGGTTGGTTGGTACATTAATTGCCTTTCCTATGAGGATCGAGGATTCTCCCTGTGATTCTCCCTGTGACGTTGGTAAATGTCAGGTCACTAGACCTGACATTTCCTTTCCTATGAGTGCTGTGAGTCAGTTTATGGATTCTCCCTGTGATAGTCATTGGGATGCAGTTGTCCGCATTCTTCGGTATATAGCATCAGCTTCAGGCAAAGGTTTATTGTTTGAGGATCGAGGCCATGAGCAGATCGTTGGATACTCAGATGCTTTGGGCAGGATCACCTTCTGATAGACGTTCTACGTTTGGATATTGTGTCTTAGTAGGAGGAAATTTGGTGTCTTGGAAGAGCAAGAAACAGAATGTGGTTGCTCGGTCTAGTGAAGAAGTAGAATATCGAGCAATGGCTATGGTGACATGTGAGCTAATTTGGATCAAACAATTGCTCAAGGAGTTGAAATTTGGTGAGATTAGTCAGATGGGACTTGTTTGTGATAATCAAGCTGCTCTTCAAATTGCGTCAAATCCAGTGTTCCATGAGAGAACTAAACACATTGAGATTGACTGTCACTTTGTTAGAGAAAAGAAACTCTTGGGAGATATTGCTACAAAGTTTGTGAAGTCGAATGATCAGCCTGCAGGTATTTTCACCAAGTCCCTCGCTGGTCCTCGTATTAACTACATATGTAACAAGCTTGGTACATATGATTTATATGCGCTAGCTTGAGGGGAGTGTTAGAATAGTTATGTGAATATATGTAATTAGTCCTAGTCCCTCATGTAATAGGAGTAGGTTATGTGTTATGTATACATATAAATAGGACTCATTGTAACATAGAATATTAGGAGAATATTAGGAGTACAAACGACAGAACCTGTTCCATAGATAGGTGCTAAAGAAGCATTGGCTATTTTGATAATATCTCCTTTAGGCACGAAGAATAGTTTTGAATGACTTTAGAAGAGCTCGTTATGTGTCTATTTGCACCAGAATCAACAATACAAGAATTAAGGTGAGCAGCAAAGGCAATGCCTGATTGCACATAATTGGATGTGGAACATTAGCAAAGTGAAGTTTGGCTAGGAGGCGATTGAGAAGCTGAATTTCGTCCGAAGACAAGTTTTCTCCAGAAATCGTATCCTTAAATGTCTTCATATTTCTGCCCAATTAGAAAAAAATATGAAGATAATTGCTGAAAAATAATCTATCTCGCAGGAAATCAAATCTGTCTCGACGGAACCTTAATTCCGGTGAACGAATAACTCAAAGCTGGTAGGGATAGGTTTGGAATGTTCCAGCGACCCCAATAGAAAAGAAAAAACTGACCAGAAGGGGTTTGTGTTGCGGACAACCACCAAGAAAGAAAACTCGACATCTTTGATAAAAACGGAACCCTAGTGCTGCGAGGGAGATAACTTACCTCAAAAAAATAACAATGACTCTTATACTATGTAGATTTTGAGAAGAAGAAAAGGCTTCTTGTATTTCTGTATGTGTTTACATCCCATGAGCAAGAGAATTTATACATAGCTCCTAATACTAATTAAGGAAATGAAATAAATCTACAACTATCAAATAAAATCAAATCTCCTAAATATAATCAGATCTCCTGAATTCGTGCTAATCAACAATCTCCTAATTATAAGCAAATCTCATGAAATCATGCTAAACAATAGAATCAGAGGTGAAGGGAACTTTCCATTAAATCAAACACCAACACATTCTTATGCATTTGATTGATCCTTTAGATGTTGCAAATTTGGTAGGCAATATAGAATTGTTGGCTTCCACAATTCCTGTCCAAAGGCGATTCGTGTACAACTGAATCATGTTGGGTTGCTTTTGTTTGTTGATTTTCATTTTTTAACTTCTTCTTTGGTATTCTTTCATAGTCTCTGAATTGTCTCTGATTTTTTGTTGTGATATTGTGCTATCATTCAGAAGGTGACTATGATAATATGATTTTTATCTCAGTTACTATCTAGTAAAATGGGTCCTACGGTTTCATTCAACATGAAAAGACCAGATGGAACATGGTATGGATATCGTGAGGTGGAAAAATTGGCAACCTTGGCTGGAATTCAACTGCGGGTAAGAGTTCAAAGGCCATATTGTCTATGAAGTATGACTTTTATTCTGTTATACTTGGGGATGATATGGTTGCTACTTTATACTCTTGAAACATATCCTCAGAGCAGCTTGATACTGCTGTTTCTGGTGCAATGTCCTACTTTCATTTGTTACCTTTCCTCCATGTCGAGGATGACATTACATCCAAGAGGTGCCTTTTATGATTTATCATTCGTCTTCACATGTATCTGAATTCTTGATGTGCTTTTGCTTTGTGAAGTTTGCTAGTTAAACTTCTGTTAGTTTGTTATTTGCTAGTTTGGTCCTTCAGATGTATGTGTCACTTACTCGTTTAATCGCCTTCACCACTGTTAGATCTGAACTGCTACATTTAGGGTTGTTTTTCAGTGCCTCAGTTATTGCCCTCCACAATACCTGCAATCTTTTATACTTTTTGGAATGAGCAGATAATCTCAACATGTAGTGGTAACTTTTGACTATGGAAGACCAAGGGATGACTTGGGTAAATTATTTGAGAATGCCCATAACTGGTGAAATTGGTAATTGTATATCTCAGATATTTAATCCTGTTATATGATATGAGTAAACTCTTCCTTCTTTTTCCTTGTATTTTGTAGACAGGATGTTTTTGCAATCCTGGTGCTTGTGCTAAATATCTTGGTTTGTCACACTTGGACCTTCTTTCAAACATTGAGGTACGTGTTTCCTTTCCCCTATTTTATTTGTTGTATCGTTTCTGTTGCATGCAGAAAGTGACCACCAAAGGTAACAAATTCAATTATGATTTCATTTAGGCTGGGCATGTGTGCTGGGATGATCGTGATATTTTACATGGAAAACCAACTGGAGCTATCAGAGTATCTTTTGGGTACATGTCAACATTTGAAGATGTTATGGTAAGGGGCCCCACCACTCCCAACTCACCTCAAAATGAAAGGTGGTTCTATATATATATATTTTTTATTTTATTTTTTGCAGTAGGATGTTGTCTCCTTGTATGGTCTTGGGTAGTGCTCACTTCACGAGCTAGATTTGAAGGTTGAGTTAGGCCTAAGATCTATTTTCTGAACATGGTATCGAAGCCTCTAAGATTTTGGTAGACTCAAATAGCTTCCTCCACTGGAGAGTGGTGCCAGCTTTTTTCTTCTTCCTTTCGGTGTTTGGTGCCACTTCTCTCTTTGGCTGTTCTGGTCTCTCCTGCAACCAGCGCTGCTATTTTCTACATCTAGTGGTGCCCGCCTTTATGAATTTCTTGTCATTGTTCTACCAATTCAGGGTACGCTGATAGTGTCTTAGAGATATGCAATACCACGTCTCTTTTCGGTGATTGAGAATAGATTTTTATCCGTGTAGTGCAAGAAACACCTTTTCCTGTGCAGTTATTCACGACTTTTTGTGGGCAAGATTTCAAATACCGCTTTTCCTTTTATTGATTGTGCACTATTCCAGCGAGATTTCGACGTCAACTTTTATGTTACAACATAAGTAAACTCAAGTTGGTTTTACTACTTTGAGTTGAAGGTGCTTTCTTAGATGTGTCTAGATTCATTCATGTCTAGACTTATTGTACTTGAAGATTTGAATAAGAAAAATCTTGTAAAATATGAAAGATAATATATTTGGTTATGGAATAGTTTCTTACCTTATTAGCATAAAAATAGATTACCTATCTAATTGTACGTAATGTAAGACCTTGTATATAAGGAGCATATCTTGTATATTGTTGCTTAGTCAAGTCAATGAGAAGTTTGTCCTATATGAACATGACATCAAAGCCAGACAATTCCTATTCTTGGTTGACCCCTACACATATAAACATCATTATAAAGCTCTAGTTGCAAATATTCACACTAAAGTTAACAATATCGAGGCATAATGCAAGGCAAATTACATGCAAAAACATGGATTTTTAGCCAAACATCACTTAGTCAAGTCAATGAGAAGTTTTTCCTATTTGAACATGACCTCAAAGCCAGACAATCCCTATTCTTGGTTTGCCCAACCCACTGTTATATTCTACATGCTCCAGCTGTCCGTCCTGGGCATGCAGGTAAGGGGAGGGCAAGGGTGTTAGAATGTCTGACATTAGTTACTTAACCAAAAAAAATAAAGATCCCACATTAGTTGAGGAAATGTGCTCTCGTCTTCTTGTATGGTTGTGTGCAATCCTCACTTCGTAAGCTAATTGAGTTAGGCCCAACATCTGTTTCCTCAAGAGAGAGATTAAGGCTAATAAATAGCTTAATGGTCACAAAGAACAAGGGACAACTTCCGGATTTTTATTTTCAATCAGCTATTAGACGGGCAAGCTGAAAATCGAAAGGGATAAAGGACTACAACAAGATGAACTTTTTAGTTCTTCAAGTTTCCGTCTGAAGAAAGAGCAACTTCTGGTCAAGAACTAGAGCAATCATTTGGATAGCTTGACTATATTGTTGTACTCCAATCTCATGGTTCCCATCACCACGAAGTATGGTCAAGAAAAAGATAAATTGTTGAAAAACAGAAAATGGTTATGTCCTTTTCTTTTATTTTTTTAATTTTTATAATTCCCTGTTCTGTTGTTTTGTTCTAGATATTGCTAGGTAGAAGTTTCAATTTCTATGAAGTTTCTGGTCATTGCCTCAATGGTTGATTGAGGAACTACTCTCTGCTCTGGATGTTCCTTTGGAAGCTAGTCTTTTCCCCTTCCTCATTTTCTTGCACTTGTCTTTGCAGAAGTTTGTCAACTTCGTGGAAAATAATTTTGTAATATTATCATCTAACTGGTCTGCGTTTCATCCAAGCTCCATCTCTCCACCAGTTGAAGGTTAATTTTTTTCACCCTTCTACTATTCGGCATGCATTAAATATATATGTTGATTTGGCTTCTTGTAGATCAGAAGTTGATTCAAGTGTGATAGTTTGTCATTTTAATACCATAAAAGATAGTGTTTGGACTTGTTTTGTGAACCTATCCATGTCATTGACCAATTGCAGGAATTGGAAAAGCCGCTGCACGGCATTTCCTCACATCTATTACTGTCTATCCAATAAAGTCCTGCGCAGGATTTAGTGCGAATCAGTGGCCTCTAACATCTACTGGTAGCTATTCTACTGTATCTCATTGGATAATTGAGTTGGTTAATAATCATGCTATTACATATGGATTTGTCAAAGTTAGATATTGTCCGTGTTAATTGCACATAGGAAATGTGCTCCTCCACATTTTCTTTAGAATATAAGTAATTTTGAATTTCATTATGTCATTATAAGTAATTTTGAATTTCATTGTGTCATTCTTACATAGTTATCCTTGTTTCTTTCACTATGAAATGCAGGGTTATTGTATGATCGTGAATGGATTCTCAAGAGCACAACTGGTGAAATTCTTACCCAAAAGAAGGTAGAGTACTTTATAAGTCACAGCATGTGTATTGATGCCTGTTATCCATCTGCAAAACCATGGTGAAAATACCCTCCTCCACCTATTATAACTGGATTTAGGAAAGTGGAATTGTTGCCTATCATTTGATTTACCCATCCTTCAAAATGTCGTGGTCTTAACCTTGTTAATCCTCTAACAAGCCTGACAAATAATGACTCTTTTTCACAAAGTAACATGTAACTTCTTAACTTGGGTTGCGTGCATTAGAATTGACAGGGTGCGGATGGCCTGTAGGTTTTTTTCGAACCTCCCTATTGAATTTGTTTATTTTGTCTATTTCTTCTAATTTGATTTATTCACAGTTCATAAAGTGTCAACTCCCTTGAATAACTCCTTGTTCTCTCTGAATGTCAAAATCCTATTTGCTCCCATGTTTCACTACTAACTTTTAAGTGTCTTGATTTCTCCACTCCATTTTTTAGCCAAAAAAAGGTCAGCCCGGTGCACGAAGCATCCCACATTCACGCAGGGTCCGGGAAAGGGCCGCGCCCCAAGGGGTGTGATGTAGGCAGCCTACCCTGATGCAAGCATCAATGTCTGATTCCACGGCTCGAACCTGTGACCTATAGGTCACATGGAGACAACTTTACCATTGCTCCAGGGCTTCCCTTAATCCATTTTTTAGCCAGTCAGCTCTAATTTGTTATCTTGTTTTATTTTTCTTGAAAACATTTCAAATTATAATTTATCTTTAGTTTTTAGCAATCTATATTCAACTTGAATAATTTGTAAGTGTCCATGCTCTCGATTGTGCTATGATCTCTACTTTAATATTTAAACACTTTATTTTGTAAGAGATGCAAGTAACTACTGTAAGCTTGTATACTAGAATCAAAGATAATGAACGATTACTCAATGTTTATTGACTATTGCATTTTATCTATTATCCCTGATACAGGGTTGATTTCTTCTGCATTAACATCTAAGACAGGTGTATTTGCATTCTAGGTTCCAGAAATGTGCTATATTACCACGCTGATTGATCTCAATTTGGGAAAACTCTTTGTAGAGTCACCTCGTTGCAAGGAGAAATTGCAGATTGAACTCAAATCCAACTCACTTGCCACTGGAAGAGATGAAATGGATATCCAGAATCATAGGTTTGAGCTTCATCTTCACTTTTTCCTTATGTTATTTAAGGCTTGATAAACAAGCTTGTTACCTCTTGGTATCATTTAAATAGTTAAGACAGAAATCATGTGAATCAGTTTTTAGAGCTTTATAACTCAACAGGGAGATTCCTATAGCAGTCAAAGAAATTTCAACAAGCCTTATGTACGTAGGTATACAACTACATAGATACAATCTTATGTTTTTTTGATAATTGTGGTGTCCGAGCCAGCTTGCGCGTACCTCGACTAATTCTACGGGTACCTGTTACCTCCCACCAGCACAAGTGCTTCCTACCCGCATAGGTATTGGGTAACTCTATAAGTCCAGAACCAAAATAGAGTCATCGAAAATTTGCAAAAGAACCGAAATAGAGTGTAAAAAAAGGAACCAAATTAGGTATAGCCCATGGTATGCATGCGCTATATGTGTTTGAGCTAATGTCCCGAGTTAATGGTGGCCGTGGCCTGATTGTTTTAAAAAATATATTATATAGCTCATTAGGAACATGCGCTATACAAATATGCATTACGGGCAGTGGCCGGGTTGAGACCTGGAGGATACATTGGCTTATAAATGATAATGGCTAGTTAGGTATTGAATAGAACCTCTACAAAAGAATTAAAAGAGCATCTCACAATAGGTAGAATGCTTATAATTCTGCACAAAGTGATTCTAAGGAAACAAACTTTATCTTCATTGTCGAGATCTTTAAAAGAGAGTAATCAGAATAAAGTCATTAAAGGAAAAAAAATAAAAACCAATATTTAATATAACATTCCCCATGGAGAAGGGACCCATTATTTCCACAAATTAATCAATTGTCAGCAGTTAATTTAATCATTCTTATTCCGATAATCTCTGTAATGTATAATTTTTTTCTTTTACAGTCACCAAGGTGGCTGTGCAGACTATATGTTGTACATGATGTTGATCATATTTAATTAAATTAATTAAGAAAAAAGTATTTCTTGTCCTATCCACTTGGATAAAAGGAACGTAAGACATCATATTTGAGTGACATTATTGGGATTACAATAAGAATAGACCCGTGAATGTTTTCCCTTTTGGTATCCTAGTGTTCCACATACAGAAAGCTTCAGTTTTGTCACATTTGAAAGATGTAACTTCATAAAAAAAACAAGAATAAATAAATAAAAAAGTATTTCCTGTATTTTAATATGTTCTAACCCCACCAAAAGAAACTTTGATGTTATCTACGGTGTATTTTAAGTGCAAGTAACATTTAATTAAATCATGTTGGTAAATACAGGACATAGTATAAATAATTTTAGTTCTAGGAAAGAATTGAAATCGAAAACTTGTCTTAGGTCATTATCAAAACGTGCTCAGTATTTTGTTCTCTTTCTCCCAAATGGATATTGATTTGGATGGATTTCCAAAAGAATTAACATCAAACTGTTAGGTTTTTTAAAAAATTATTTTAAAGCCATCTTGTTTTGTATGCATTTTGTAAGATAAATAGTTAAAATATTATTAGGAGTGGTCAGCATACTCTTCAATGTGCTTTTATTATGAAAAGAAACAACATATGAGTCGACAAGCTAGTGATGTTATTAGTCAATTGCTATCACTTACAAGAAGCCAATGTATCCTCAAGTGTGAACTCAGTCATTGCTCGTAATGCATATTTGTATAGCGCATGTTCCTAATGCGCTATATAACTTCAGCCAAAAAAAAGGGTGATGGCCGTTAACCCAGGACGTTAGCTCAAACACATACAACGCATGCATGTCATGCGCTATACCTAGTTCGGTTCCTTTTTCTAACACTCTATTTCAGTTCTTTTGCAAGTTTTCAACCCTATTTTGGTTCCAGACTCGTAACTCTGTCCACCAAGGCTTTGATAGAAGGGAAGAAATCACCTAGTATTTTTGTCTATGCTGTGATTTGAACCTGAGGACTTATGGTTCTCAACCCAGTTCAGTGAGCACTAGGCCACACTCTTGGGTGTAGATACACTCTTATATAGTAGCTAGATCTTACTAACTTGTACGAGCACCTATGTTTTCTCAGACTATCATACAAGGCCATATGTAGAAGGTCCAATTATCTTTCTTTCTTGCGTTTTGAATTGTTCCCACAACACTAAAAATTGTAGTTCGAAAGTTTAGTTGTTGATCTTCTCTGTGTTAAACTATGTGACTGTCTATCTTATATGACTTAAACAACACTGTCTTGCAGTATCATCTTGGGTGTGCAATAAGTAATTGGTTCTTTCAGATTTACTTGTTTTTTAATTAGAAAGGAAAAGTTTCATTAAGATAGCACGATATATGTACAGTAGAAAAAGTTAGAAAAAATAGTGCTCCTTAATTTTGCTCTAAAATTTGTGAAAAACTTTGTTGATGGGCGTGCATGTGAGCGTACTTTGTTGATGGGCGTGCATGCGAGTGTCACCCACACACTTAGATTTTGTGGTGCCAAAGATGGTTATGGTGTATGCATCATACTTGTGTAAGTTCTGTTTGCCCTTGCAATCGACGCGCTGATGCGTCACACTCAAAGGGAGGTTCCGTGGTGCATGTTATTTGCAGATGACACTGTCTTCATTGACGAGACGCGAGGTGATGTTAACGAGATGCTAGAGGTTTGGAGGCAGACCCTGGAGTCTAAAGGTTTCAAGTTTAGCAGGACTAAAATGGAATACTTGGAGTGCAAGTTAAGTAGCGCGACTCAGGTTGTGGACGGAGACGTGCGGCTTGATTCAAAAGTCGTTCCTAGGAGTGAAAGTTTCAAGTACCTTGGATCTGTTATACAAGGGAATGGGGAGATTGACGAGTATGTCACACACCGTAATGAGGCGGGATGGATGAAATGAAGACTTGCTTCCGGTGTTCTATGTGATAAGAATGTGCTGCCAAAACTTAAAGGTAAGTTCTATAGAGCGGTGGTCAGACCGACTATGCTATATAGGGCGGAGTGTTGGCTAGTCAAGAACTCCCATGTACAGAAGATGAAGGTGGCTGAAATGAGGATGTTGAGATGGATGTGCGGGCATACCAGGTTGGATAGAATTAGAAATGAAGTTATCCGGGACAAGGTTGGCGTGGCCCCTGTGGAGGATAAGATACGGGAGGCGAGACTTAGATAGTTCGTGCCTGTTAAGAGGAGAGGCACTAATGCTTAGATGAGGAGATGTGAGAAGCTGGCGTTGGAGGGCCAACGGAGAGGTAGAGGCAGGCCGAAGAAGTATCGGGGTGAGGTGATTAGGGGAGATATGCCGTTGCTCCAGCTGACTGAGGACATGGCCATAGGAAGATGTGGAGGTTGAGAATAAAGATAGAGGGTTAGGTAGCCGAGTGTTGTCCTTGTTTGTCGCAGTAGCTTTGATACATCTCTTAGCGTCCTTTAGGTTCTTCTTTTTATCCCTAGATTGCTGTTATTTCTTATTGCTTCCTTGTTTCGGTTTTCTGCTTGCATTACTTAGTGTTGGTTTTGTATTTTCGCTTTGGTTGTCAGATTGGTTTGCTTGTTGTTGCCCCTTTCCTTTTTACTCCCTGAGTCGAGTGTCTACCGGAAACAGCCTATCTGCCTTTTAAAGGCAGGGGTAAGGTCTGTGTACACTCTACTCCCCACTTGTGGGACTACACTAGGTTTGTTGTTGTTGTTTACTTGTGTAAGTTCTGCTGGTGAAAGACCAATCCAGTTGCCTTTAGTGAAGCATGTGAAGCTTATAAATATTAGTTGAATTTTGTGCCTTTTAAAAATGATTTTTTAATAGTGGTGTCTGGGTCAAGTTGCATGCACCTCTACTATTCCACTAGGTAGTAGTTATCTCCCACTAGCACAGATATTGGTAACTCTGTCCAAAAGGGCTTAAGAAGATAAGAAGAAATCACCTAATGTTTTTATCTCTGCTGGGATTTGAATTCTTATCTCCAAGAAACTCGATTCATTGACCACGAGGCCACGCCCTTGAGTGTGTTTTCCTTTCAAAGGTTATCTTATTGTTTCCTTGTAATCGGAGAGTATGGTTATGTTCTTTGGCATAGGCGTCTAATTAAAACAAAGTTGGTATATTTCTTTACCTAAACAAAGATCTAGTTTACGGGAACTAACTGTTTTTAAAGTTATTGCTGATTGTCGAGCTTCAAACCTCGGTTTGTTGGTTCCAAAGTAGAGTGTCTCCGTTATTGCCTATCACCTTAATTAGAGCGAACAATGTTTTGAAAAGGATGTCCATTGTTTTAGTCTGGCATGTTGCAAAAATAGCTAACTGCATGCACGGGAGAAAAATCTATGATTAACAATGGTACAATGAGCTCTATATATAATACATCTTCTACTCCTACTACATATGGGACTAAGACATTCTACTCCTACTACATTTGAGATTAGGACTATTTACACATAAATATCTAATACTCCTCTTCAAGCTGGTGCATACAAATCATATGTACCGAGCTTGTTACATATGTAACTAATACGAGGACCAGTGAGGGACTTGGTGAAAATATCTGCAAGCTATCATTTGACGTAGAACGCCACTAGACAACCCCCCCCCCCCCCCCCCCCCGGCAACAAAATCAGGTGGTTGCTAATAAACAGAAGTTGGCCGAGAAGTTGCTGGAAAAATTGAAATTAGTGAGATTACGCTGAATTTCACACTACAAAATAGGTTCTAAAACACCACCAGAAAACAAACCTTTTTTGGAAATTATTGTTCACGCCCGGAAAAAAATAAAAGTTGCCAGAAGTTGATGTTATTTATATGGATAGGCTAGGAATCACTGGGCGAGTAAGTTGTCCCGAAATAGTTTTGTCAAAAAGTGTGCAGAATGGCTCACACGCGCAGGAAAATTTCGAAATTCTCCGAATCTGTAGGAAATTGTACTGGTGGACTCGGAATCACTCCACGAAACAACCGTCCTAAAGAAATTTTTAAAATTCTGGGTGAAAAGTGCTCCATGTGCCGGCGCGTGTGTCAGACGTGCTCGCCAGAACCCTAGTTCTTGTAGCGCGTGGAGGCGCGTGAGGGACTTTCTGACACGATTGACTGGGGTTTGGTCGCCTGACTTTTCCAATCAAGATGGTAGTGTTGGTTTTCACACAACACGTACCAATGAGGACATAAAGCAAATCAATCTTGAGTCGTTAACCGGAAAGACGCACGGTGACTGACTTTTCTGTTCCGATGGGACTGAGATTTCTGGGGTTTGGTTGCACAAGGGTTTCGGATCTGATAGTGATACTGGTATATTCACAGTACCACTGTAGCAGTGATGAACCTGGGGAACAAGACGAAGTTGCAGGAATTTTTTGTCCTACTACATAGGGGACTAGGCATATTCCACTCCTACTACATATGGGACTAGGTCTATTTACACTTAATAATCTAACAAGTAGTATTATAGCTATGTAAGCGCTGCTCTCTGATTAGTGTTCACCACATAAAAATCGACAAGAAGATTGTGGTTCATGAATTATAGTTACGTTAGTGATGCTTTTGAATCAGCAGCGTATAGTAACACTCAATTGCTTTTCATTTTTTTTTTGATTTGAGTAGATATGAAGTCCGAAGTTATAACAATGAGGTTGATATCTGGTTCAGCAATGCAATTGGTCGACCTTGCACTCTATTAAGGAATTCAGGTTCCCAAAGTTACTCATGCATAAATAAGAATGGGAGTCCTGGCATGTGCAGGGACGTTGGTGCTAGATTGAATTTCGTCAATGAAGCCCAGTTTCTGCTGGTATCTGAAGAAAGCATAGCTGACCTCAACTCTAGGCTGAAATCAAGTATGTCTTTCTCATCTTCTCCCTTTCTTAATAGAGAGCAATCTTTCTGTCTGGTATTAAACTCTTCTGGAATAGGAATATAAGGAAATTAGAGATTGCACCCAATACAATTAGTCCATTTGAGGATGTTCCTGTAAGCTGAATGCATAATAACTTTTAAACCATGGGTATACAATGATAAGTGGAATAACTCCTGTTCACTGGATACTGCTGGTTTGCCTTACTTGAAATTAAGTTAGACGAGGTGGTGTTTTCTCTCTTTAGAGAAGACTAGTTTCGAAACGTTTACCTCTAGTAGCATGGCTGCTAATTGGATTTGCTGTCCGTTCAATACCTTTTATAGTCCACAATACGTGAATTTGTTTCTAGACAAGTCACTCGTGTCACATAATTCCTCTGATGGTGGTTAGTGATTTAACAAGGATGGAGATTAAGAAAGGTGAATGTATGAAGCAAATAAGTCTATCAAAAACTCATTCAACCTTTATTTTTTGGGTTTAGATGGACGAAAGAGCACTGGCGGACAAGCAGTTCAAGTTGGCGCAATGAGATTTCGGCCCAATCTTGTAGCATCAGGTGGTGAACCATATGCAGAAGATCGGTGGAGGCATCTAAATATTGGGGGCAAATATTTTACGGTGAGTTCTAGCTCTTATAAAATCAAGATTTGAAAACATGCAGTGACTATATACATTATGTCCTAACATTGTGACAAAAAAATCTTGTGACAAACCATTCAGCATCTGATGTTGATGTTCATACATGTCTAGAGACAATTCCTCTACTTCTAAAGAAACTGTGGTGAGGAAAGAAAGCTTGTCACTAAGTAGTCAATGATCATAATTTTCTCAACACTTCCAGGGCTATGCAGCTCTCAGTTTGCACCTCTTTCTTTATCTTTCTTCTTTTAGTTTATTGAAAAAATAGAAGTTTTTCATGTGTTCACCTACCTAGATACATCAGTAGATACTTGTGTAAATACGCAATTGTTGTTACCCACTGATTTTGTTAAGTGCAGTCATTGGGTGGTTGCAACCGTTGTCAGATGATCAATATAAATCCAGAGGCTGGGGAGGTGCAGAGGTTGAGTGAACCTTTGGCAACTTTAGCAGGCTACAGGAGAGCAAAGGTTAGAACCACCTACAATGAAGAAAAACCAAAAGAAATGCAGCATGTTTATTTAACTGAGTTAATTACTTCTTACCATGTATTCCTTGCAAACAGGGGAAAATATTGTTTGGCATACTACTAAGATATGAGAATAATACGAAAACCAAGTCGGATGCATGGCTTCGTGTAGGAGAACAAATATTCTCAAATGGAGATAGCAATTGATTACTTTCTTTGAAGTCTCTATTTGGGACTTGTAAGTAGTCACAACAGAGGTTACAAGTGTTGAATGTGGTGAAGAAGCGGCAGAAACACTTCCTCTTGGCAGGTCAATACATCAAATAGTACTTTATTGTTCTCTGTATGTAAATGGGTATGTACTTCTAAAAGAACTCTCTTATATCTTAATTCTTTGTAACCAATGTAATTACGAGCTAATAACTAATGGTGATGTCTATGTTCATATTCATTGGGTTGAGTCCAGTTTTACGTCCGGTATATGCAAGTTTGTAGTTTGTGTAGTGTGAGAAAGCACGGGAGAAAATATATTATTGATGTATGTTCATATGTTACAATGAGCCCTATATATATACACACATAACATGTCCTACTCCTAATATATATTGGATTAGGGTTATTTATTTACTCCTATTTACATGACTATTCTAACACTCCCCCTCAAGCTGGTGCATATAAATCATATGTACCGAGCTTGTTACATATGTAGTTAATACGAGGACCAGTGAGGGACTTGGTGAAAATATCTGCAAGCTGATCATTCGACTTCACAAACTTTGTAGCAATATCTCCCGAGAGTATCTTTTCTCTAACAAAGTGACAGTCAATCTCAATGTGTTTAGTTCTCTCATGGAACACTGGATTTGACGCAATATGAAGAGCAGCTTGATTATCACACACAAGTCCCATCTGACTAATCTCACCAAATTTCAACTCCTTGAGCAACTGTTTGATCCAAATTAGCTCACATGTCGCCATAGCCATCGCTCGATATTCTGCTTNTCTGGTCACGTACTGAATCAAGATCATTAGGGAGTCCAGCGAGTGTAAGAACTAGAAACATCTTCTGTCGTTGCTCTTGTTGTTTTTCAATACTAGCAGAAACTGGCATCAACGTCTCAAATTCTTCCATGACTGCCTGAACTTGTCCCAAGTAAGTAGACATATCTAATTCCTCTTTCTTCAAGCTTGTCATTCGCGATATTACATCATAGAAACGAGATATGTCATTAGTGTATAGATTACGAGCCTTTTCCCAAACTAAATAACATGTCTGGAATGGACGGAACAAGGGCATCAACTTGGAATCAATAGATCGCCACAGGATACTACATAACTGAGCATCGACCTTCTCCCATTGTGTTTTGGCCTTTTCATCACCTTCGCTAGCCTTTTTTGTTAAATGATCTTGAACTCCTTGACCTTTACACCACAACTCGACAGATGAAGCCCAATCTAAGTAGTTTGAACCTCCCATTAAAGGTTCTGAGGTAATCATAACACCGGAACTGCCAGAACTCGGGTTTCTAGACCCGAAAGCATCGACTCCCAAAGACATGGTTGGATTATCACTAAATAACAAAAAAGAATCAACTGAAAATTCTCTGAGACAGATGAAGAAAACACTGTGTTTGCCGGAAAAGTACTGTAGCTGCCGGAAAAATCAGTGTAGTCGCCGGAAAAACTCAAAGTGGTCGGAATTAAAAAATAAAAATATGGACAGGCTCGGAATTGCAGGGCGATCCAACTGTCCTGAAGAAGCGAAGCCGAAAAATGGCCGGAAGAGGCCTCACGCGCCGGCGCGTGGGACAGACGCGCCGCCGGCGGCAGAGTTCCGACAGGCGCGTGACGGCGCGTGGAGGGCTATTTTCCGGTGATTTTTTCTGGGGTTTGGTCGGATCTCTCTTGGGAACCTTGTGGTGGTGTTGGATTTTGCACAACACTGTTAATTAGTGACTTTGACGCAATAAGTCACTTAGGTCACCGGAAAATTGCACGGTGACTGAGTTCTTTCTTCCCGGAAGTCGCTGGAATGATGCACAGCGATATGTTTCTCACTAAAGCTCTGATACCATGTGAGAAAGCACGGGAGAAAATATATTATTGATGTATGTTCATATGTTACAATGAGCCCTATATATATACACACATAACATGTCCTACTCCTAATATATATTGGATTAGGGTTATTTATTTACTCCTATTTACATGACTATTCTAACATGTAGTATCTTGGTGTGCAACCCATGGATGATGTGATTTGCCAGTATTGGCTAATGTATCAATACCGCTTGTATCCACTATACCCATGGCTTCCCGTTGTGTTAGCTGAAACACTCATCCCGTGGTTGCAAACTTAACATGGAAAAGATTGTGGTTTGACATTAACATTTTTTAGTCTTTGAAGCCATTGGATGATGGTATGTTGATTCACCGCCTTGTCTGGAGTATTTGAACATATCCAAAAATGTCATTCTTGATTCTGAGCTTGTTGCCTTCAATGATGTGCTCAGATTTGCCAAGGAAAATGCAGATATTGACTCTGTAACACTCTCTCGTGGATCATGGTGACTACAAATCCTCTGAGGGGAAGCATCATTGAGCACTGCAGGTTATTATTCTGACCCTTGCAATGCGCCCTCGATCTATCATAGGGAGTGGAATCCAGCTGTGGATTGTCTTGGCACATTCTTGACCACTTGTGAAGAAAGTTCTGTGCCTATTCGTGCCCCCTCTGAAAAACTGGTGTGTATTGTTAATTAGACTTAGATATGTATCCATACAGCTCTCAACTATGAATTTACTAACTGAACATAGGATGAAGTGCGGGTTGTCTTTTATTTCATCCATAAGTAAGCATGTGAGAGTTCCTCAATCTGCAGGTGTGGTTGTCTGTTGTAATGGTAATCGAGTTCCTTCATAGTAGTTAGCTAACAAAGTCATTTTGAGAAATGTCTTGTTGGTCATCTCAAATGTTTTCAAGAATATATTAAGCGAAGTAACCATTTTTCAGCTCTATTCGACTGTTTTAGTTGTGTTGCTTACGTCTTCTGTTATCTTTTTTTGTTGGCTCTAAAATCTTCATTGATGGATACGCTTCTATTCCATTTTAGAACCTGTATGATTTATTAAGGTCTCTTTTATTTTTGTTTAACTGAAGGTTTGAATCTGAATCATTCAAATTTTAGCCCATTAAGTATATTTGTGTTTTTCCTTTACTTACTACTATTTATGAAAGGTCTGATTTCTTTGATCTTGTAGGGAGTTCTAAAATTATATAAGATGTTATTTATTTAAGGGAAATTTTCATAAAGCACTATCTTGTAGTGTTAATTAGCTATCTATAGATACCATTTGCTATATTACGGCCTGTAGATACGTTTTTTGTTTTTATAAGATGTATTTGATGTATTTAGACTACTGTATTCATGAATACATTAGGAAAAATAGGCGTGAATCATGGAAGTCCAGCTAATCAGTTGTTGTATCCAACTGTATTCAAGAGCTGTATCATTGAATACAGTAACGTATATTCCTTAAAAAAGGGACCTTTCAACTGTTTTAAAACGGAAAGGAAATCAATTTAGCAAATAGTCTCCTAATATAACTCAACTAACACAATTATATCACCCATAATCTGTATTTCTTCCTTCATGAAAGATTTTCCATCCGAAAAGTATCAAAAAGCAGAGCAATCTGTGTATTTTCAATTCTCCCTTCTTTCTTTTGTGTTCCATTCTTACGGTTCGTACAAAATAATTTTCAACCAAGAAAAATCGAGATTGATACAATTGTATACAGAAATACGTTCACATTCGATTTTGCATATGGCAAGTTTAACAATGTTATTGCGTCATTCTGGAAAGTGGAATAATGAGAGTAATTACGTCGATTATTCGATTGAGGGAATACTGATAAAGGAGTATGCGTAGTATAATGGTTTGGTTGCGTCAATTTCTAAGCAACTGGACATAGATTTGAGCTCAAAGACCATTAAAATTCAATACAAAGTAGAAGAAAATTGCACGCCAATGGGAATACACAATGATAGGGGTTACAGGGTGTATGTAGAGTTGAAAAAAGAGAACAGAGAATTTGGGATGTATCCTTTGTGCATAACAACAATTGACAAAGAAGTTGTAGCCGGAGGTAGTTTAATTCAAGGCGACATTGTCCAAATGGACGAAGCAGTTCAAAGGTATAATTTCGATACAGATGATACACTTGCCCTTGATGTTGTCAATTCAGGCGAACCAATTGGGGTGTTCGAACTGGACAAGGATTTGATAATTTCAAAATCTAATCAAAGGGAGGTTATGGTTGGACAAGTATATAAAGAGGCGATGGAGCATTACGTTATATCAGAAAGGTTTCAATTCCGGGTTGATAGGTCTAATGCTATCAGGTTTGAGTGTTCTTAATTATTCATTATTTTTTTTGTATATTGTATTTCTGGTAGGAGTTGTAAATCGTATGTAGATGTATTTAGGTGTATTTGTGTATTTTTACTCGACCTTCACTGATATGCGTTTTTTATTTATTATGTATTAATAATACATGTATTGTTGTGGAGCATTACGCTGGTAGAAGAATTGAATGTAAAGTTAAATTGTATGTGATGTATTTAGTTGTATTTGTGAAAGGTTACATGACCTTCACTGTTGTGCTTTTTTTTTTTTAAAAGGATTAATAATACATGTATTCTTGTGTATTACAGTGGCTCTAACTGTTTTTTATTGAATGTATTAATTGTATTTAAATGTATGCTTATAAGTATAGGCGTATTCAGACATGTTTAAATGTATAACAGTGTATATATTTGTATTTTAAATGTATGCTTATAAGTATAGGCGTATTCAGACATGTTTAAATGTATAACAATGTATATATTTGTGTTTATATGTATGCTTATAAGTATAGGCGTATTCAGACATGCAATTATATCCAAATGTATATGAGTGTATTTTTTGTAAGCATTTATATTGATCGTATGTGTAATGATAAATTATTTGCAGCTATGCATTATTATGTATGTCAGAAGATTGTGAATGGAGGTTTAAGGCTTCTAGCATTAACAAATCACAATTATTCAAAGTGAGAGAGTTCAATGATAAGCATACATGTCCGTTGAAGGATAAGGTGTATGAGCAACGTCATGCAAGTAGCAGCCTTATAGGTGGTATGATTAGGCCCAAGCTTACAAATCATAAGAGGAAATACACCCCAAAGGATATAATTGATGATGTGAAACATGTATGCTTATATTAGGGTGATGGAAAAAGCATACACACAGGCTGAGTTTGACAGTCTAATGGAGAAGGTGGAGAAGGTAGATATTAGGGTGAAGGAATACTTGGAGCTATCTGGATACGAAAAGTGGGCTAGGTTGTATGCACCTGTTAACAGGGGATGAACAATGACGTCAAATATTGCTGAGTCAATCAATGCCGCACTTGTGTCAGCAAGGGAATATACGACCTCCTCGAAGAAGTTAGGAAAATGTTTGGACGTTGGAATTGCAGCAATCGGAAAGAAGCTCTACAGACATACACAACGCTTGGGAAAAAATACCAGGAGATGCTTACCTTGAATGAGACAATGTCTACACGAATGACTGTAAGTTGCCTTTTATTTACGTATCTATATCCTATATTAGCCATGGTACAAGGTATTTAACTGTATATATTTCAAGGTAGCCATGGACGTTGTATCCTATATTCATTCGAGACTCCTCTTTAATATTCTACAAACATTCATATAGTATGTATTCTAATATATTCAATGTATTTAACTGTATATACGTGTATGTCTTTGAATTCTGCATGTACAAATATGTTTGTATTTAATACAGTTGTATTTTACTACAATATATATTGTGATTCTTAAAGCTAAATAAAAGTCTAATACTCTATATGAAAATCATAAATATATATATATATATATATATATATTGTAATTAATATGTCTATTTTTTGATATATATATATATGATTTGTTTTTTTAAATAATTCAAACTTAAGGTCTATGTTTAAATGTAGGTGGTGCCATCGACTGAATATTTGCATACGGTGAACGATGAAGGAAGGCATTACACCGCATGCCTCTTAGAGAGAAATGCAGTTGTGGGCGGTTCCAAGTCGACGAATTACCGTGCCCACATGCTTGGGCTGTCCTGAAGAGCAAGTTTCTAATGCCAGAAGATTATTGCTCTGACTATTACAAACAAAAGTCTGTTGTAATGACATATGGTGTGCCTGTGTATCCTTTGCCGGACCGGAAAGAATGGAGTATACCGGCACATATAGCAGATGAAGTTGTATTACCACCCAAATGGAAAAGACCTCCTGGAAGACCAAAGAAGAAGCGTGATAAGCTATTGATTGAATTGCTGCAGAAGAACATAATAAGCGTACTTGTAGAAATGCTCCACGTAGAAATTAATTCACATTCTGACTTGTATTAATGCTATAACGATTTGTCATAGATTCCGGTGTCATTTCGAATATATTCTGGATATATTTAGTTGGTGTATTAAATCTGAATACGTAATTAAAATACGACTATTATATTACTTCATGATATCTGACTATAGATGGATACAATCATTGAATACATACGATTACACTTAGTTATATATATAGGATATGATTGTATTGTAAAAAGATGTAATATTTCAATAAACAGAACTGATGATTTTTTTAATACATATCGTATATCAGAGATTGAATATGATTTCTGAATATTAAATACATGTATTCAAATACACATGAATACATATTAATACAATCTGTTATACACGTATAGATGTATAAATATGTATTGTACAAAGGTCTAAATAGACTTGAATACATATGCATACAGAAGAATACAGATTAATAAAATCAATTATATACATAAGTTGTATTCAAAATACAGCTGAATACATATTAATACAATATATTATATAAATATGTCTACATACATCTGCTGAAAATATGTAAACATAATCTGGTGAATACATATAAATACAACTTAATGAATATAGATAAATATATCGTGTTGAAATACAGATGAATACAATATGGTATATTATAATATAAATGCAACCTGTCGACTTGTTATGAATGCAATAAGTTGAATACAGAGTAATAAAGTAAGTTGAATACAGACTGATACAATAAGTTGAATACATATGAATACAACATATTGCATACATATCAATACAAACTGTTGTAAACATACAAAAACAATATGTTGAAAGACAGATGAATTCAGATGCACAAAAACAGCCAATAAATGGATTGGATACTTGAAATGATAGTATATAAACACCGTTGATACGGTGAATAAATTAAAATTATTTTTTGCTAAATTAAACACCATTTTACCAACACACTTTCCAAAAAAACAGTATTCACAAAAAACTCCCATCGAAAACTACATTCACCTAAGACTACTCTAACATTATCTTAATCGACGTATTAGAATCAGTGATGTGCCTAAGAATCTTTGAAGGTGCTTCGCTCTCGCTTATGGCATCTGCGTCTATCTTCTGCATAGCATAGTCCCAAAGGAGGGCACCATATCTTTGACGGAGTAAATTGGCATTAAATTTTGTTTGTGGAACCAAACCAACGGTGCTCAGAAACTCTGTGTATTCCACGACATGCACCCCACAATCCCTGAAAGAATACATTAAAATAGTTACAAACAATTCATATTATTAGAAAAATGATACAAGGAAAAGGATTAAATACATACATGCTCCCGGAATTTTGTTGAGACAGATTTGAAATGAAAACAACATCAAAGGGATCAGTTGGTGCCTTGTCACTGTATGCTGAGTCATGAGACCAATCTATGCCTTGCTTATCTCTGTAAAAACCACTGATCGAT